GTATATATATATATTTATTTGTCTGAAGCCAGTTGTTAAAAGAGCTGGGCGGGCAGCTGGTTTGCGTGAGCACACAAATGATTTTCACATCTTTTTTCCATCACCACCATCAACACACACAAAAAATGTTTTCCTCATGGACTCTTCACCCAACACAACACTGATCATTGAGTGATTAAAAAAACACAATATCTAGCCATCATTATTGCTGTTTATATACTTACTGTATGTGAGCTGTGGGAGGGCAGAGGGAGGATCTATGATAATTTATGACCCGGCACATCTTCAACCTGTTTACAGTTTGATTGTGTCATTTTGTTTCAGCAAAATGACACAATCACCAACCCGCTGTCTCACAATGTATTGAAGGATAATCCAAGCTTTACTCTGCAACCATGTAAAGGCCCTGTCACACTTAACCTATGAATTTTAAAGACGTCTACATTGAAGATGGAATAGAAAAAATCAACAGGGCACTTCTTTTCAGCTTGTACATAATGTAGTTATAACAAATTGATCAAATATTTAACTTTTATTAGCGATTTAGACATAAAAATGTTTCATAAGTTGGCATAAGTTGTCTAGTGTGACAGGGCCTTTACTGAAGAATGTCAAACTTTACAGCTGGACAGGTTGTGTGTCAACAATGATCCCCAGTGATTTTAGAGTCACGGGGTCAAAGGTCACTCCCAGCTTCACATAGCTCTAATTTTATAACTGTTTACCTTAGAAATGTCAAACGTTTTTGATATGAGCTAAAAATTACTAACAAAGCAGTTTGTTGATTTTCTTTCCTTGCAGGCATTTGTTTATTATTTTTTTTGGAATGCAACACAAAAGCAGCAAACCATTAAATAGAATCACTGTAGGTAGAAAGTAGATAAAATATAAACACTTAACTTGATGTTGTGTAAAGTGTTCAGGTCGTTAATTCAGTCAAAAGTATTGTTTTATAGAACTACTTCTTTAAGGAAGGAACTATTAGAATGATGAGAAATATTTCTCAACCACGCATTTGAGAATTATTTAGGACATCAATTTACCCCCCAAAAAATAAATAATCCAAGCAAAACATTTTAGATCAGAAATTCCTATGGAACCATTTCAGTAGCATGCTTTTTTTCTGTGCCACACATCAGCAGGTTCTTTTCATATAAACTGTATTAATCTGAAGTGAGTTTGTGAAATGTGTTGCAGGTGTGTATGAGGCGGCAGCAGGCCAGGAGGCAGTTCCACCAGAAACAGAGACAACTACTACAGCTGCTTCCTCCTGGTAAAAATTTATCCCTTCTGGGGCGGCTGTGGCTGAGTGGTTAAGAGTCATCTTCTAATCAGAGAGTTGGCGGTTCAATACCCCCATTATTCGGTCACATGTTGAAGTGTACCTGGGCAGGACACTGAACCCCCCACTGCCTCTGATTGTCAGGACTGACAAAATAACCCAGGGCACAGGTAGATGTAAAAAAAAATAAAGCACGAGGCCTTTAATAAAAACTCAAGGATGCTGAAAATACAGCAGAAACTCACTATGACTTAGAGGTAGACGAAGAACATGGAACAGGACACGACCAGGTGGACAGAACAATGATCCGACAATGAGACAGAGACAAGACTGAGCTTAAATACACAGAAAACTAATGACGGAACAGAAAAGATCTGGGGAGAAGCACAAAGGTAATCAGCAGCATGATGTGGGGCAGCTGAACAGAGACACACAGGGGAACATAGAAACTAGGGGTGTCCCGATAACAGTTTTTTCAAGACTGAGTACAAGTACGAGTACTTCAGTTTAGGTACTCACCGATACCGATACCGATATCAAGTAGAGGGGTTAGGGTGGATTATCTGTTCAACTTGTTGAATAATAAACAGAATGAAAATGAAATGCAATTATGCAAAAATTGATG